AAAAAAAAAAAAAAAAAAATCATTCAAAATTGCATGACTTGACTAGATTTTTCAGTTTTATCTCAGTTTCGTTGATCCCTAAATAGAGGTATTTATGAAAAGTAAAAATGAAGAAGCATAAACACCAAGGGTGTGTTGTATATAAGCATATCCATTTTTTTTTTGTTAACTGGACTTAATTTTGAAAATGTTAGTATGATTAGTTGTTTGTGGAATATTGAAGTTATTAGTACAGCGCCCGTGTATTACAAAGGTGTTTGCTAAAAAATTTTCTTATAATTTAAATTAATGAGAAAAAATAGTTGAATTTTTTTTTTTATTAAAAAATATATATTGTTATATATTTTAGTATGACACTTGTTATTTATGCCTGTGTTGTAATAATTTTTTTAACTTATAACATATAACTACATGAAACTTAAATATACTAATTGAGAAATAATTTTATTTTTCTAATTAATTTTAATAAATATTTTCTTATTACTGTAAAAATAAATATAATTTATTTGTTTTATATATACAATATGGATGTCAAATTGAATCTCATCAAAAGATGATTAATTTGATATATTATATATATAAAACCGATAAGAAATATAAAAAATTATCAACTCTTAAAATACATTTACAATTCAATAGTTATAATAGAAAATGATATTAAAATACAATTAATACATCTAAAATGCTCATAAATAAATCAACATATTTATGGTAATACGAACCTAATAATTTTATCAACAAACACACCCCAAGTTTGTCAAAATAACCTCTATTTTTTATCATGTAAAGTCCGGAATTAACTCAAAAATATGAGAAAATCAGTAATTTTCTATTTAACATTGTATCATTTTCTTGTTTCAGAAGAAATTCTATAATCGATCACACGGTTTTTTCTTATGGAGTCATTAATCATCATCATTTTTTAATGTATTAACGCTTGTCTAAAGTATAATTATTGTAGGACACGTATCAACACACTATTTGTGAATAAGTATGGATGACTCGTTTCAGCAGCATGTTCTTTTAATTGAAGAAATGTATTTCTACAATTTATATATCATCTTAAACCAAATGATTTTCTTGTCACGAAAATATTATTCCCTTGTCAGAAAAATCCCCTGAAAGTCGTCCCAAATTTCAGGTCATCTATGTTTCATTTTCAAACTTGTTGCTAAAAAAACAAAAAATTAAAATAAAATAAAATAAAAATAAAAAATAAATATAAAAACACTCACTCACACACACACACACACAATATGTTAAGAAAAAAGTAATTTCTTTATTTTGCAAAATATTAATTCATAAGTTAAACCACAAAATAGGCAAAATTTAAATATCTGTTTTTTGGCGTTGTGGTAACAAACTTAGGACAAATGTTGAGCAATTTGTGGGTAAATGAAAAGATCATTCATTTACAAGCTGATTTCTTGATGGAAGTCTACCTAACCTCCTTTTCAAATCTCTAATTAATGAGCTTAATGTCGTGTACTTAATTACTATTATGAATCTCATTAATTATAATTAATGTAAAAGAGTTTGGATGATCAAAAGGGGCAGTTTATCTGACCGTCTACATTTAAAATTTGATAGCTGAAAGCAACATATTAATAATAATAGGACACAAAATGTCACTTTTTGAACATAAGTGCATATTTATATTACAAAATATCATAACTTTTTTATTTATATCGTCTTTAAAGTATGACATTTTAATTGAAATTGCCTATATTCTTGAAAAATTATAGATAATTATCTAATGTGAGGATTTTGTGCTATTAGTTTGACTAATAGTCGGATAACTATATTTTTTAAGAAATTTATAATTTTATTTATATTGTTAATAAAAAATAAAATAAAATTATAGAATAAAATGTCATAATTTTATATATTTTTTTAACATATAATAGTTTAGTATGAAACCATGTAATATATTAAAAACTAGTACAACACCCGTGTATTACACGGGTGCTTGCTAATTTTTTTTAAAAAATTTAAAATTAATGAGAATTAGTAGTTGAAAATTTATATATTTTTTTTATAAAGAAATATATATTATATATATTTTAGTATGACAATTGTTACTTGTGCGACTTACCTGTGTTATATTATAATAATTTCTCTAACTTATAACATATACATTAAACATAAATATATTAATTGAGAATTAATTTTATTTTTCTAATTAATTTTAATAAATATTTTTATTATTATTATGAATATAAATATAATTTATTTATTTTATATATACAATATGGATGTCAAATCAAAACTCATAAAAAGATGATTAATTTGATATATTATATATGTGAAATCGATAAGAAATATAAAAGTTATCAATTTTTAAAATACATTTACAATTCAATAGTTATAATATGAAATGATATTAAAATACAATTAATACATCTAAAATGATCATAAATAAATTAACATATTTATGTTAATCCGAACCTAACTATTTTTGAATTGGAATTAAATTAAAATCTATCCAACTCAAATAATAAAGCATGGAATTTTGACACATAGGATCCCAAAGCATGCGAGTCTGCCACTTAGGCTCAGCACATTCGAGAATTATATAAAGGGGATTATTAAGTATCAAACCATTAGTTAGCCTTACAAATACATATATCATATACACATTATATTACTATCCATCACTTTATTGTTATTATCACTTGGTACATTTATATCCATTTACTTCTTCAGTTACCAACTTTTATGAATCACTTGTAGGAAGATAATCCTCCCTATATATAATTCCCGAATGTGCTGAGCCTACGTGGCTGTTTATGGTGCTTCGGAATCCTATTTGGCGAAAAATCATGCTTCGTAATTAGGTTTGGACAAATAATATTAATATTTTAATAATTAATAATCTAGGTTCGGGTATTCCATAAATATTATTTAGCTAACTTAGGTATTTTGATATCACTTTTTACTAATATAACCCTTTAATTATTTGTAATTTTACATAGTGAGACACTAATTGACTAATATATCCCTAAATTTTGATTTGCTTCCTTCAATAAGCTATTGAATTATAAATGTATTATAAAAGTAGGTAACTTTTGTATTTTTTATCGGTTTTACATATATAATATATCAAATTAATCATCTTTTGATGATCTTTGATTTGACATCCATATTGTATATATAAAATAAATAAATTATAT